TTCTATTTTATTGTAGCTTTATTCTAGCTTCTCTGAGGGGTGTCAGCCTGGACAGGGATTACGATATAGATCGATGAATGTATGTGTCTGTCATATGTCTATTCAGTTGATTCTTATTCTGATATTGATATTTTGATGATGTTGGTTTTAATTTTTTTCTGATGTAGCACCTAGTGCTCTTTGAGCTGGTAGGTGCTTTATAAATAAATTTTATTAGTAGTATTTTATTATTGTCTTGCTGTTTTTACAAAGTACACATATAATTTAGCCAATACATAGTCACCAGAATCATCTATAATCAGAGCAATGTAACTGAGCCCAGGAGATGGAGGTGCATTCAGTTTTAAGGTGGCTTTTAAGGAAACTGCAAGTGCAAAAGAGCAAGTGTCACAGTCATTCCAGCAACATAGTGTGTTGTCATGAGAATCACAATATTGAATTAAACCATGCTGACCTGTGTTCAGCAGCAGTAAATATGAATGGCGTCACCTGTATTCTTGGAAATGAACCTTGTAAATACTGAAGAAATCTTCTGATCCGTTTTATTTACTTTTCAGTAATCGAAGTGTGGAGGGCATTCCTTTTCTGTGGAAACACCTCACCAGTCGGACCAGATTTTTCCGTACCTCCCACAAAAGATAAACACATGCTTTCTCGCTTCTGATGTCATTTTCTAGCTGGCACACATTTTTTCACGTACACACTTGGCTGTCAGCCTTCTTTATTTACAAGAAAATATGTTAACAAATTAGTTGGACATTAACCCACAGGCAGCAACACTGTGTCTGTATGACAACGTTGTAATAAAAAGCTGGTTGTCAGTTTAAAACAAGCTCTGCTCCACAGTTGACTCGATTCATTTACACTGTTGTTGAAAAGGGAACAAAATCCATGTAGCGTGACAGTTATTTGACAGGGGCATGACAGAGGGAAAAACCTCTGATTAACTTTATCCGACATGACATCAAAGGAGCTGATACGATCAGCTGACGTGCAAGCGCATGCTGAGACGGTGTCAAGCTGTGGGCTGAACAATCAGTCGCTCAAAAGTTGGAAAACTGCAAATTAATTACTTCAGCTGCTGCTGTTTTATGTCAGGCTTTTATTTATTCTCTGGTCAGAATGTAAAAATATGTGTCTTTTCTAATCTGGGGCTGCAACTAACTGTTTGACTGTTTTCTCATTTCATTATTTTGTTTACAAGATGTCAAAAAGTGGTGAAATGTCCCACTGTAATTGCCCTAAACCCAAGATGATGTATTTACTTTTGGGGGGTGGCGCTGACCAACAGTCCAAGACCCAAAGGTGTTTGGTGTGCAAGCAGTTACGACACAGGGTAGCAGCCATTCGTCACATTTGAAAAGCTTTAACCAGTCATTGTAAAATGTAAAAGGGTTAACCAGTTATTAGACTGGTTCTTGTCGTTCTCTATATATCATTCGTACAGTAGCACATTTGCAGTATCCAGTAAAATAAAAGTACATGATTTCTTTTCAAAAAATAGAAAAATAACGTCTACAGTGTTCAGAGTCAAAGTTGACTGTTCACATTGCATGTTTTGCCTGACGATCTATCCAAAATCCAAAGCTATTGAATGTTTATGTCATGTAGTAATATAAAATAGTGAAAAACCACCAAATATTTATTGATAATGGTTTTGAGCAATTTCAAGTGAAACCAGCCCTGGTGAGGAGTGGTATAGTGTGTGGAAGGCAGGATAGATCGCTGGAGGTGTGTTGCAGGATACCTCCTCTCATCTACTTTGGTAAGAATACACCTCTTGCTCTCTCTTTATTCCCTGCATCTGTCTGAGGCAGGGTACAAATATTTTGACTTGGATGACTAAAAGTGTTTTCTAACAGACCTGCTTGTCAAAGCTGCCTTGCTCTCAGTGGAAGTCCGCTGGCCTGTATGGCAGGATAAAGTAAACTGAGATATGATGTATGATTAGAGAGCTTAGCTTGGTGAAATTCTGCATGAGAAGACGTACGTTTTTTTTCTTCCTCTCAAGAAAATAACTTGCACATGCTCACCAATACGCAAGCACAGATGTGGTGTGTAGGCGACAAAAGCACAGGATGTGTGGCTCGGGGGCAGGAAGAGGCACAGGAGCTGAAAGAAGTGTGTGTGTTTGGCAGGAGAGTCCCTACTGTAGGTCTTTTAAGTGCTGCTGTTGTAACACTGATAGGAGCTCACTGAGCTACTTTGCAGCCTACATTCTCATACAGTTTCTGATCGGTGCTTCAAAAATTGTCTTTTCAGTTTATATCATTTCTAAAGATAAATGATGATGTGACCTGTGGAAAAGGCTCTGCAGTGTTTCTTTTGTTCAGTTCACTGTATGCAAGTTCGATTTGAGCTTGGTAGGCAAGAATGTTAAATGGTGTATCACTGGTATATTCCGTCTTATGCACCTTGTACATCAAATTATTCAAACTATTACAGGCACTAAAGTCCCACACTTACCTAAGTATAGCATGTCTATGACCAGTCCCGTCACAAACTGGTTTGTGTGACCGACCAAGAGTCGTTTTGGTTGATTTCAGTGATAAAGGGCTTAATTTGGGGTCACTAGCATTATCATGGTTTGCTTATTCTGTCCAGGTTTACCACTATATTTCTGCACACTCTCTTCACTGAAGTGTGTTTTAGGTTGTGGCCTCAGTTTCACTGTTTTATGTGATAGGCAGGGTGCCTGAAATGCTGTACGATAGAAGGTTAGTGTTAAAATTGTGGCCCATAAAAGATTTATGAACATCCATCCATTATCTATACCGCTTATTCCTGAACAGGGTCACAGGGGGGCTGGAGCCAATCCCAGCTGACATTGGGTGAGAGGCAGGGTCCACCCTGGACAGGACCGGTTTGTCACAGGGCTCACGTACAGACAGACACACACACACGGACAATTTAGTCGCCAGTCAACCTAAGCCCCATGTCTTTGTGGGAGGAAGCCGTAATATGAGAGAGAACCCATGCTGGGACAGGGAGAGCATGCAGACCACACATAGAAAGGCCCTGGATCGGCCAGGGCTGTGAGGCGGCAGCGCTAACCACTGTGCCACCGATTTATGAACATGAATAAATTAAACCAACACTTGGGACAAACGCCTGAAGCTAATTCTGTGTTATGACTTTCAACAGTTTTGTAGAAACATGGTCCTGCTGTGTTATCGTTTTACAAAATTCTGTTAACAGATGGCTTACTGAAGAGTTTGTTTTACATATATGAAGGCTTGTATTTGATGCCAAGCATATTTGCTCAGTTGCACTGATAATTAAACTGGATGTGCTCTATTTAGTTGAGCCATCTGCTAATAACAGTCCATGGTGCAGGTGTTTTATTATTCATGCTCAACTGTTGTGCACATGTAAGCATAAGAAAATAGACCATGTATCATGGTTTAGTGTGTTTGCATTTGCCAAAGAAAATCAACTCTTCGTTCACAGTTTTAGACCCAGGAAATGTGTTTACAGCTTAGCCTATAATGCACACACAAGTTTAGTCAAGGAAACAACAATGCTGTTCACTTACTGAAGGTAAATAAAGATTTATGTTCTTAGGGTTAAGTCTAAGAAGTGCTGCATGCAACATTGGTAATTATCTGCTGTAACTGAATCATCTAGAATTGAATCAGATCAGGGCTAATGTCCAGCCCTGTTGTTCAAAGAATAATCAATATGATTAACATCACTTTTTGTAAGACTTTAAAAGACTAAAGAAAGTGAAAAATTGACATTTTAATAATTTTACATGGGATTTTGCATGTTGTGACAGCTGATGATGGCAGAAAAAAACATCCATATTGCCCACGATTACTGACGACATCTGTGTACTATATGTAAGAAAATGGTGGCGCTCTGTTTAGCTAACTTCTGTGTGTCTGTCTCCCTAGTTGACATTCGAGAGATCAAGGAGATCCGGCCCGGTCAGAAGTCTCGGGACTTTGAGCGCTATGTGGAAGACTCGGCAGCGCGGCTGGACCAGGGTCACTGCTTTGTCATCCTGTATGGCCCTGAGTTTCGTCTTAAATCAATCAGCCTGGCAGGTAGGCACAGACAAGGCATCCAAATAGAACTGCTGCATTAGTATTTCACCTTACTGCTGATTTTGACCAGGAACTATAAACCTTGTTTTTTGTTCATTACCATAACAAAAACTGCTGTTGGTTGACAGTTCAAAAATTGATGGAGCTTTAATGCCACAATTGGGTCAAATCAGTTTTGATCACACCTCACTAATTTGGCTTGAATGTGTTTACAATCTGCACAGTGTGCGATGACGTATTTAACCATTGCTTTTTTCCCTCAGCAACGTCAGATGAGGAGATGACCATGTGGGTGAAGGGGTTAAATTGGCTTGTAGCTGACACGCTGAAGTCCCCAACACCGCTTCAGATAGAGAGGTACACAGCATATGCATAAATACACACACATCCAAAGTTCAAGTTATTAAGAGGTGGTGTGAACAGATGTTATTTGCATTCATGATTGTGATCTTTTTTTAATGCACTAAATTTCTTCTTAATTTGCTCTCTCTCTTTTTAAAGATGGTTACGCAAGCAATTCTATGCTGTTGATCGCAACAGAGAAGACAGGTAAATCAGTTCAGTTAAAAGATGTAATGTGCAGTGTTAATCACATCTCATTCACAGGAAACAGGCATAATGTCCCAGTTGTGTGTCCTTTCCCCACTGTAACATCCAAAAACAAGTAGACACCAGGGTGGATAGGTGTCTGACAGAGCTCTGTTTTAGGTGTAGTGAAGGAACTGCCCTCGCAGCTGCACACCAGTACCTCTTCCTGTAGCAGGAAACAGACTGCAGAGAATGGAGGAGATGTACAGAGATGTTTGTCTTTTACATCTCTGACAAATCTCTTTGTTACTTTTAGGGTATTGTCCTCTCTGGACAAAATTCTAGGCTGTGTAGTGAAGCCAAAAAGACTTGGCAGAGCATGAGGGGTGCATGTTTTCATGTTTCCTATAAATGTCAAAATGAAGCAAGAACAGTCTATGCTTATTGTGCATGTGTACCCATGTTTGTGTTAGATTTTTTTTTCCCTCTCTCAACAAATGTGTTTAGGATATCCTGTAAGGATCTGAAGAACATGCTGACCCAGGTAAACTACAGGGTGCCCAACATGAAGTTCCTCCGAGAGAAACTTCCGGTAACGTCCTACTTATCACAGACCCCATTCCCTCTCTATCTTCGTGCCCACTTCCCCTGTCAACATGATGACTCAGCACATTTACGATTTGCCATTAACGGCTGCTCTTCCTTTGATTTTACTGCTTGTGCTATAGGACTCCGAGCTGAGGAATGGAGATGTGTCCTTCAGCCAGTTTTCCCAGCTCTATCGCAACCTCATGTTTGATGCTCAGAAAACGGTAAGTGCAGTCATTTTATGTATCCACAGATAGTTCTGTCCCAGCACTTTCATCCCCTGCACCCCATCTGATGTCTTGCCAAAGCACCCTTCCTCCCCCATTTGTCTGTTCTCAAATGGCTGACAGATCAATATGGACCAGTTAAAAACCCACCAAACCCCTCTGGTGGAGGCCATTAGGACACACACATACACATACACACACACACACACACACACACACACACACTCACACACAAAGACAGACTGACAAGGAGGAAGGCAGGCTGGGGTCAAATTAAATGGATGACCTCACTGCCCACCCCCCCTCTTTGCAGGATGTCTATGTCCACTACATGACTAATACTATTACACACTGAAAGAAGAGCACCTTGAGCGATTAACTGACTGTACCTTTTTGACCGATCTTTCAGATGGAGATCCCATTTCTACAAAGGTAGGTCAAATCTAAATATATAGACACACCATGAATCTTTCTGCATTGTCACAAATGTGTGTTTATTGTGACGTGAACCACTACTTTCTCTGCCAGGTTCACTGACAGACCAGAAGAGAGGATCTCCCTAGAAGACTTCAAGAGCTTCCTCCTGGAGTCTCAGAAGGTAACCTCTTTGGGCTGTTAAACATCTAGTGTATTTGTTTTGTTTGCATGCAGCTGTTATAGTACATATGTTTTTTTTTTTATATGAATCTAGGAAATGTGGGCTACAGACAACAACAAAGTTCAGGAGTTTATGTTCAGCTACCTAAAAGACCCCCTGAGAGAAGTGGAGCTGCCTTATTTCCACCAAGACGAGGTATAAACAATCTCACTGCCTCTCACACTTTCTGTCCCCCCCCATTTTCTTTATTTTTTACATTCTTTTCTGGGTCTCTGCTCACTAATGGAAAATTTTAAACATGTTTTTTAAAGTTATGTTTTCCGAAGCCCCTCGTGTTGTGGGTGTGCTCAGTAATTGACATGGATAGCCATGATCTTGGTCTGACGCACCTTCTCCCACACAAATAGAAAACGTTATTGACTTTGGCATTGCCTGACAGTTCTGCAGAAAGTGAGCGATGCTTTTTGTGGTCACCATAAAGCTATGATTCACTAAAGAAAAGAGGAAGTTGGGGCAAACTTTTCTGTGCCTGATGTTATTTAGATACTAGGTGTGAAGGCCCTCATCAGGGTGATAACACCTAAAGAAGAAGAAGCTATTAATAAGAGGAAACATTAACATTATTAACCTTTGCTGGGAAGTCTTTTAAAAGCCAGAGTGTGAGATGAAGTACAGACAAGTGCTGCTTGAGTTGCTGAGGATTCAGTGTTTTTGTGTCCTCAAAGGACAGCAAATGTGCTCCTGCCGCTGTTTTGGCACAGACTGAATCCAAATGTCAGAGTAAAGTGTGAAGTCTGCACTCCAGGTGGATTCTTTGGAAGTTCAAAGGAAGTTGGCTTGAAGTGTTTGCAGACATGATGAATTATAGGCTTGGACATCTCAGGTCACTCATAGATTTCTCTAAAACTAGAGATGAAATGGTATGAAAGTTTAAACATAGTGATCAATATGAACACGTTTATCAGTATTATCACAGTTGGAGCAGTTTTGCAACCAAGTTAACTTTGCATTTGCAATAAGGTGTGTGTCCACCCACCCCTCTTCCACAGTGATATTCTTTCTGCATGTTGTGCAGGCAGGGGGACCATCTTCATTCAAGTCTCCCTCAGCGCTCTCATAAAAGCCAAAATACAGCAACACTATAGACTTTGTCCTCTTAGAAGGTGAAAAATCTCTGGCGCGCTGTCACTGCTTTTTGCCATATTTTCCTGGATACACAAACACATGTTGAATGCAGCGCCTGTGTCTGGCTGACTGTTGCTAACTTTGGCAAATGCTGATCGTTAATTAACCTCTTCAGCAAGGGGAGTTTTTCAGAGTGCAGTAATCAGCCACAGTTTTAATAATAAAAATTCAAAATAGCAATACTAACATCAGAAATTTGTGAAACCATTTCATCCCTACCAAGAACACATCAGTGAAGTCTGACAGTGGGAGGTCAGCCTGAATTCAGCCTCACTCATTGCTCTTCCTTTTCCTCTGCAGTTCCTGACATACCTTTTCTCCAAAGAGAACACCGTCTGGGATTCCTCAGTGGACCAAGTATGTCCTGACAATATGAACAACCCCCTGTCCCACTACTGGATTTCCTCTTCACACAACACGTAAGGACGGTGGGGTGTGTGTGTGATGGAGGCCATTTCTTCATACATTTAGCTCATAGAATTGTAATTAGGCCCTGAGAACACTGAAGTCTGCCATCTTGAAACCTCTAACTAACCAGGGCTTTAGAACTGACTTCATGCATCAGATAAAGGTGTATTTTTTAACATGCTCCAGAATGAGATCCAGGCATATATTCTGCAGGAAAATGTGTTTTTTCAGTGTGTGTAAGGCAATTGAAATGAAAACTGCCTGTACTAGATGTGAAACTACTCATTGGAGCAGTGGAATAAAACTCCCATGTTGCTTAATTTAGGTTTGAATTGACCTACTGAGTGAAGTGTCACACACCAGTGTTTACACCAGTCAACAAAAGAAAATGAGTCTTTTGATAGGGTGGCATCAGTGTATTTATTCTACCACCACAGAAAATGTGTGTTTGTAGTGCACTCCCTGCCGTTGACATCCCTTGACAGACTGGTTTGTGTTTTATTGGCACACTTTGACGTTACATGCTTATTTTTAGCTACCTGATGGGAGACCAGTTTTCCAGTGAGTCATCCCTTGAAGCATACGCCCGGTGTTTGAGGATGGGCTGCCGCTGTATTGAATGTGAGTAAACATATGCACACGCTGCAGTTTTATCCACGTACAGTAAACCGCCACCACTTGACATTCAGCCTCACAATGAACTGTCTAACCCTGGTTATTCCTTACACATGCCAACTTTTAATGCAGCTGCCACACCCTTACCACGCATCACGCACATTTATTGTCATGTAACAATGCTGTGTATTGTCCTTACACCAGACCCAAGCTGATCAAGCTGGGTACTATGAATAAGACTAGCGTATAGTGAGTCAAAGAGTCACCTTGCCTCATACAAAAGTAAACAAACGTGACTCTTCTGTGACTCTGTAATACACTTGTATTTATGTATATGTACATTTTTATGTGCAGTATTTTAAAATAAATTATGTGGGTTCATTTTCAGTGGACTGCTGGGATGGTCCAGATGGAATGCCAGTTATCTACCATGGACACACCCTCACAACAAAAATCAAGTTTTGTGATGTCCTGATGACCATCAAAGAGCATGCCTTCGTCACATCCGAGTGAGTCTCCACGGGCGTAACACACACTGCTTCTTTTATCAGTTGTCAGTAGTGGAGATAAGTAAAATCATTAGAGATGACAGATGCCACGCACACACAAATATCAGACAAAACAATGTAGACAAGTTGCAGTGACTCACTTAATGTGGTATGTGAGCAAATGACACGTAAGCACAGATAGAGGGAATTTCTCTGAAGTCGCGACTCTTGAAACCTGTGGTCCTCCCTCAGCTATCCCATCATCCTGTCCATCGAGGACCACTGTAGTATTTTGCAGCAGAGGAATATGGCCACTCACTTTAAGAAGGTGTTTGGAGACATGCTGCTGACCAAGGCAGTAGATATTGTGGCAGATGGCCTACCCTCACCCAACCAGCTCAAGAGGAAGATTCTCATCAAGGTCAGTAGCCACCTAGAGTTCTGAGAAATCATTTGAACTTTTTTGTACCATTTTTATTGTCTGCAGGAAAGCATCTCAGTGGATGCGTTTGTGTGCAGTGTTCTGATAGTATAATGTTTCTGAGTGTCTGTCTGTCTGTCCTCCTCTCCCTTCACTGTGTGCAGCATAAGAAGCTGGCAGAAGGCAGTGCCTATGAGGAGGTGTCCACCTCCGCTCCCTACTCAGAGAACGATATCAGCAACTCCATCAAAAATGGCATCCTGTACCTGGAAGACCCAATTAATCATGTAAACATGTTCACCATGTATAACTGGATTCTGGTTGAGGAAGAAAGACGAGCTTAAAATACACTGCAAATAAGTAGATTCTGAGCCAAAACTGTTTAGTATGTTGTAATTATTAAGTGTTTACCATTTACATATAATAATACATCAAAGACTTATCATCATCTTGTGGCTTACCACTCATTTAACAGCTGTATTATAACTGGGTCATGCTTGTTCTTGGTTCCAGGCCTGGACTTTAACTGTTTTTTTAAAAGTCTGCTGAAGGCACTTTTTCTTGCCTTGGCCACTTTTCAGTGCAACTCATGGATCTTCTAAACATTCCATTTAATTCGGACCCCTCAGAACTGTCTTTGTCTCTTCTCCCTCCCAGGAGTGGTACCCTCATTTCTTTGTTCTGACCAGCACTAAGATCTACTACTCAGAAGAGACCTCCAATAACCAGGGTAACGATGATGAGGAGGAGCACAGAGAGGTTAGTAGGCCTGGTCTGCTATTGATAAACACAGAAATAAGAATTGCTAGTCCTGAACTTTTCATGCCGCACCAGACATTGCACTTAATTTGCACATAGTATGAGAAGTTCTTGATTTCCTGTAAGGCCTTTTACAGGATTAGTTTCTTAAGGTATTGCATTTAAAGTGTTTTTCATACAGTTAAATTGTGATGGTGATTATAGTCATTTGTTTGTACATGCAAATGAAGAGAGTATCGACAGCAATGAGTTGAATAGTGTTTCTCTCCTACTTTACACTTTCAGGTGTCCAACGGCATGGACCAGCATGTGACAGAGAAATGGTTCCACGGGAAGTTGGGTGCCGGGCGGGATGGGCGGCAGATAGCCGAGAGGCTACTGTCTGAGTACTGCCTGGAGACCGGAGCTCCTGATGGCTCGTTCTTGGTCCGAGAGAGCGAGACCTTTGTGGGAGACTATACACTGTCTTTCTGGTATAGTGAAGAGTTATTCATCCATAATTCCTGCATACTTTACACAGGCTCCAGCTACATTTGTTTGGTAGTAATGGGCTGTAAATAGGGTAGGACAAGAAAAGATTATTGGTAATGGTAGACAATGAACATTAAAGTCTACTGAATTGTTGCTGTTTTAATATGGCTCATTGTTCTCTCAAAGGGAAAGTCCCTTACACTTATATTACGTGTTCTGTAGGCTTAACTTGTGCAAATAGCTGAGTGACAGACAGGCAGATCAATCACTGACAGTTTCTTGAGTGTGATCAAATCTTTTGTGTGCTGATGCATGGGCTCTGCATGAGTGGGAATACCTCAAGAGATTTTCAATCTGTGTGTGTTGCACACAGTGCATGGAAACACACGCACACTGTGTACTGTAGAGACTCAGAAGGAAACATCTCCAAGGTTAACCAAGGGGATGGTATGACCAGGCTTTCACTTGGTCATGAAGACCAAGCAAACAAGAAAATAAGGCTTTTAAACTCATTGATCTCTCACCTTCTCTTTCTCTTTGTCTCCACCTCACCTCCATCTCTGCGCCAGGCGTTCAGGCCGGGTGCAGCATTGTCGTATCCACTCTCGTCAGGAGGCAGGCAGCCCCAAGTTCTACCTGACTGACAACCTAGTGTTCGACTCGCTCTTTGCTCTGATCACACACTACCAGCAGGTGGCATTGCGCTGTAATGAGTTTGAGATGAAGCTGACGGAGCCAGTGCCTCAGACCAATGCCCACGAAAGCAAAGAGTGAGTGTTAAGCTGTATTCGTACAGATTGGATAGAATACTAAATTATAAAGAAGGGAGAATATGTTGAGGGCTACTGTTTCATTCAAATAAATGGTGACTTACTACTTCTTCCCATTTGTGTTTCACCTCTAAATAATACTTTATAATTACATTTGACCTTTTAAACTGGTAATTGATGTCCTAGAGGTGTGAAAGTGAAAGCTACATTCCTGTAATAGCCTTTTGTGTGTCTGTTTTTGTTGTTTGCCCCAGGTGGTACCATGCCAACCTGTCTAGGAGCCATGCTGAGAACATGCTTATGAGGGTTCCTCGTGATGGGGCTTTTCTTGTCAGAAAGAGGGCAGAACCCAACTCGTTTGCCATTTCCTTCAGGTAACTCAGTCCTGTTTCTTCTTGAAGGGGTACTTACCTAGATCATTTACAGCTAACATCTTTAATAATGTTACAAGAAGAGCACAGAAAAAGGCAGTCAGGGGTAGCCTAGAAAATTAACAGGTTCCTTAGCTTTGCTGTGTTTTATATAAATGCTTGTCTGTGGTTTATTCACAGGGCTGAGGGTAAGATAAAGCACTGTCGTGTACAGCAAGAAGGTCAGATTGTGGTGCTGGGCAGCTCAGAGTTTGACAGTCTAGTAGATCTCGTCAGCTACTATGAGAAACACCATCTGTATCGCAAAATGAAGCTGCGTTATCCCATCAATGAGGACACACTGGAGAAGATAGGCACTGCTGTGAGTACAATACTATCCAATAACACTTCAACTGTGACAAAGAAATGTCAAAGTCTGTAGTTTACAATTTGTGTTAAGACCCCAGGCACCCCAGTCAAAAAACCCTATTAACACAGTCTGTTGTCCAACAGGAGCCAGACTACGGGTCATTGTATGAGGGCAGGAACCCAGGCTTTTATGTGGAGGCCAACCAAATGCCAACACTCAAGGTGAGTTTTCAGTATGAAGACAACCATCTTTAGTTGCACTCTGCACCTTCTGACCTGTTCATGGTAGAGAGTGAATATGTGTCAAAACATCTTCTCTTGTTAGGGGTGGCAATCTTTGGTAAACTCACGATAAGATTTGATTCAATTCTGGTTCTTGGTGTCACAAAGGATTTTCAATTAAAAATGATTCGATTCAAATGGGTGAGGGCACTATATTTTGGCCCTTACTCTAGTTTACCGTGTGTCATACGACCGATTACTGCCCTGTGCCCAATGAGCTACTAATGAAGCTTAATAAGACAGTTAAGGTAAATGGTTCTGACGAGCATAAAAACCAAGTACTTTTACACACTGCTGGGTAGCAGTATGTAAATTACTTGAAATATAAGTATACAAGGTTATTAAAATTAGCTCCACATTTACTAGCTGCAGCATCAAATGTGATGAACACAGTAATGCATCTAGTAACATAAATGTGCCAATCTGCATAATGAGTACTTTTGTTACTTTAGGTTATATTTTGATCCTCTTTTATTTATGTAATATTTTGAATGCAGTATTTTCACACTGTGGTTCTCCTAATTTACTTCAGTAAACAATCAGAGTAATTCTTTGCTGGTTTTTGATAGCTTGTGTTGTTGTAAAGGGGAGGTGGAGGAACAAAGCAGAGCACTCTGTGGCATTGTTGTTAGCATTACATGTGTGGCAGTGGAGAACAGCATCTGCGCTGCAGCGCTACTGCCAGAGAAAGCCAGCACAATCTGAAATGGGCATAGGCCTGTAGAAACAAGGCCTTTCCTTTGTCTCACCAGTTTGACTGAAGTGCTGCAGTGTAGGTCGCTGAGCTGCTGTAACACAGGCTTTGCAGTTTAATTCTGCCTTTTTAGTTCTGTCAACATTGTGATAGAAATTGATTTTCAGCATTTGTGAATCGATTTAGAATCATAGAAGTTATGAATCATGATTCTAATATGAATCGGTTTTATTAATTTTTTTTTTCTCCCATCGCTGTCTCTTGTCTTTTCAGTCCACAGTTAAAGCCATGTATGAGTATAAAGCCCAGAGAGACGATGAGCTCTCCTTCACCAAGAATGCCATTATCACTAATGTGGAAAAACAGGAAGGAGGATGGTGAGTGATTGGTAACATTCATTCTGGAAATAGCTCTTAATTATCCAGTTGGACTGATCATATGTGTGTAGTGAGAGAGCCCAAAGCATATAACAGCGATAAATGATAGAGGTTTGGGATTGGCTAAAAATCAATCTTTACCATATGAATGTTGACATCATTTTAAAGCCAGTGTTGTAAATAGTTATTCAGCTCAACACATCACATCTCTTTCTCCCAGGTGGAAGGGTGACTGCGGAGAGAAGAAGAAGATGTGGTTTCCTGCTAACTATGTGGAGGAGATCAGTCCATCAGAAGCGGAGCTTGACAGAGCTGTGAGTATCAGACCCACATCTGAGAACAGGCTACTACTACACATTTGTACATTTTAAGTGAAAGGAGGGTTCCTGCCCCCTGCACCAGGAGGTTGGGCCTTATCACTCAACTGTCAATTATCCAAGGTCCCAGAGATACATTTATAATGAGGATTATAATTTCAAAAACATCTTTCCTAATTCTCCTCTTTTCTGCCAAGCAGGAAGTGACAGAAAACAGTCCTCTGGGAGATATGCTGAGAGGAAGTGTGGATGTATCTTCCTGTCAGATTGGTGAGTGGCCCCTCTGCTTCCTGTTCAACTCTCTGCTGCAGGGCTGCAGAGCAGCCAGTCATCTTGCTGGAGAGTCATGTTCTCATGCATGATTGTGGCATCCACTAACCATAGTTAATATAGTTAATACCTGTGCCTGTTTATGCCTGTGAGTGGTTCTCTGGCTCCATCTAGTGGTGGTATAGGAAAGCTCTATTTCTAACATTGACTGCATTTACATGTACTTAAGTAACCAGATTATGGCAGAAATCAGTACATTTATATGCACAGCAGTGTAATCGGTGCAATCAGGTTACTTGAAAACAGCAGTATACATGAGCACCTAGGTAATCTGATCCCCCCCAGCACCACACTAGCCTACTCAAAATGGAAAGACGTTCGGTTGCATCCACATTGGAAAGCTTGACGTCATTATACAACTACATCCTACCATAAACAAAGATGGACCTGGTTGATCAAGCTTGTATTCTGGTCTCTTTAGCGATGTTTCACCTGCAAATCATTAGTTGCCCCATTAGTCATGAAATTAATAATGGCAAATAGATGCTGTTGCTCACCATGTTGATAATCATCTGGTGACAACTTCTTGTTGTTCTCCAGTCACGTGTGCACAAGTGACCTTGGCTCTTGTCTTTTGCACATGCACTCTTGTAGAATGATGATTAGAAACCTGGTTATGCATATACATGGCAGGGAAATTTGTGTTCTCCAGGAGAAATCTACTGGGGGAAATAGGGTTTCCCTAATCCCCTACCCCGATTAAGGAAACTAGGTGTCACATGACAGTTAAGAAATCAGCTTACTTGAGAAAGCCGATTGTAACCTGGTTACTTAAGTGCATGTAAAGGCAGTCATTTTTTTCCAAGGCTTCCTTCACATGATCACAGGCAGAGTGACACCACCAAGCCGTTGTTTTCCTGTAGAGGAAGTGATGATGTTGACACACCACTCACTGTTGTATTCAAAGTTACCCTCAAACCTTTTTGAAAGCATATCAAATCAAATTATAGATGAGCAAATGTTTTAAATGTGGATAATGTCTTTATACATTTACTTTTAGTTTGATTTTAAAATTGTGCCTGTTGCCTTTTACTTCTGATAATCGATTAATCATCGAAGTAGATTTTCAAGCAAAATTCATCATTGCAGGTTGGCAAATGTGAGTTTTTTTTTTGTTTTACTTTTGTTAATTTTAAATGATAGTATATGTAGCATATTATTTGTTGCTATTATTGTCTTTTTTTTTCTTTTGTGCTCTATATGTTTGGATTTTCTTACTATACAATGGTATATTCAGTTATACATTTTAGTATATACAGGTAATTTATAATCATTTAACATTTGGGTGGCTGGAGGAAACATTTCACTTTCCTTTGTCTTCTCTTCAGTTGTCCGTCAAGATGGAAAGGGCAGCAGGCCTCATGTCTTCTCCCTGGTGCCAAATACCTCCATGCGGATGGGCCCAATCCTGGACATTGCTGCCAGCAGCCTAGAAGAACTCAAGGAATGGGTGTTCAAAATCCGGGAAGTCACCATGACAACAGAGGCCAAGGTAAATGCAGGCCAAGACTCATATTGTGCTCATTGTGGATTCAGGGGCCCAGTTGTGACTTGTGTTTGCTGCATAGTACCCACAACCTGTATTTAGGAAACACTGTCTGAGCAGTGTGGCATTTTCCAGCAATGTCACTCTGATCAAGCTGTTTTGTTTAGCTTGGTATAACCACCTGAGCAGTTGTTGCTGAAGTAAGAATAAAGCTTCAGACTAATGTCAAACTGACAAGCAGTGTGTGTTACTGTTTCTGTAGCAGCATCAAAAGTTGTGTTTTTCTGTGCTCAGCTGGAAGAGGGGAAAATGATGGAGAGGAGGAAGAAGATTGCACTGGAATTATCTGACCTGGTCATCTACTGTAGACCTGTGCCGTTTGATGAAGATAGTAAGGATTCCACACATGGTTTTGACTGTGAAATGCACTTTAATACACACTGGTATAGATGTGACAGATTTCATACCTATGATAGAAACAATATTCATGTGTAATAGCAGTACAAGTAGGTCAGGTCTGTCCTCTCTCTGCCTCCTGTAGAGATTGGCACAGAACGGGCCTGTTTCCGGGATATGTCATCCTTCCCTGAGACTAAGGCAGAGAAATATGCCAACAAGATCAAGGGGAAGAAGTTCCTGCAGTACAATCGACTACAGCTGTCCAGGATCTACCCCAAAGGCCAGCGAATAGACTCCTCTAACTATGACCCACTACCCATGTGGCTCTGTGGGTCCCAGCTGGTAGCACTCAACTTCCAGACAGCAGGTATCTGCCTTCTTGTCAGATAAATAGCATAGACAGAAGCTCTTTCATATGCCTGTTATCTGCATGTATTTTGTTTTTTTAACTTTCCTCTTTGCTCTCTGTCATGCAGACAAGCCCATGCAGATGAACCAGGCCCTGTTCGCGCTGAATGGAAGAAGTGGCTATGTCCTTCAGCCTCCCATCATGAGGGACGATAACTTTGATCCGTTTGACAGACATACACTACGAGGCCCTGAACCAATCACTCTAATGATGGAGGTACAGCAGTGTGAGAACTGGACTGTGTTTTTCCATGTGTCTCCAGTAATGGGTGTCTATACATTTGTGTACTTTATAAAGAGTGACTGTTAATAGCTACTTCAGTTTTTAGTGGTGACAGTTTGTCAGAATATAAACAGATGATGGTTAAGAAATGTTTCACTTTGTACCGCACTGACACCACAGCAGTGTTGTTGTCTCATTTTAGTCTAAGGGAGCATCCACAGAGTCAGACTTTGAAAACCCCTGCCATAGTGAATGCATTTGTATTTATGTGCTGAAACAAATGAAGTGAGAAAACCAAAAATAACCACCTATATTCCTGTTTTTTTCTCAAGGTCTTGGGTGCCCGGCACCTGCCCAAGCATGGACGTGGCATAGTTAGCCCTATGATTGAGATCGAAGTGTGTGGGGCAGACTACGACAATGCCAAGCTAAAAACAGACTCAGCAGGTGAGAGATGCTCTAATTTTAAACATGGGTTACTCTGCCAAGACTGAAGAAATGAGAAGTAGGTGTTTACTGGATACATTACCCTTGTGTCATTTCCCGTCTGGTTCTAGGTAAACAGGAAGTTGTACAAACAACTAAGCCATGTGTGGGAATACAAAGGGAAACACTGCATAGTGTGGATGTAGTTTTGGCACAGCTCTCATCAGATTTTATGGGCTGGCTGTAGCCAAAGAAGACACATTATAGTAGATGGTTAATTTGTTTTTCTTTTGTGTCATGTTTTGTGACTTTATCATATGGAGTTTGCCAAATACTTGGACATTGTATTTCCAATTTTAAGCTATGCAGTGTCAGGGAAGGGGGAAAAACATACTTGCTTAATACTCTGCAAAAAAAGAGATTACAGTACTTTTTGATCTGAGGGGAAAGTAATCACAGTGCTAATTACTTTTATTTTCATTCCATTCGGTCTCTGGTGTTATTGTTTTGATTTTAGACAAGTAAAATATTTCTGCCACTCTAGCCTCTCACAGGTCTTTTTATTATGTTAATTTCTGTAAACAAGTGGAGGCATTCTTATCATTATCTATAACTGAATGAGGTTTTACCATCAGTTTAATATTTCTTCAAACAGCATTGACAGATTTCTTGAGGACTGGATGCACAATGCACATTTCTCACCTCTCTTTCCTTGTGTTTTTGTCCTCTCCAGCTGATAATGGTCTCAACCCCACGTGGCCCCAAAAGCCATTCCAGTTCACAGTGTGCAACTCTGCGTTTGCCTTCCTGCGCTTTGTGGTTTATGAGATTGACATGTTCAGTGACCAAAATTTCCTGGCTCAGGCGACATTTCCCATTCATGGTCTTAAGACAGGTACAGGCAACAACAATGTGTTCCATGAAATGACCTGAAATGCTGCTGCAAATTGTTGCCATAAAGAAAGTGTCTCTGTCTCTTTGCATTGCACCAGGTTACCGGTCAGTACCTCTGAAGAACAGCTACAATGAGGATCTGGAGTTGGCTTCTCTTTTAGTCCATATGAACATCATCAGAGGCACGGTGAGCTGCTGTGTATTACAGAGTCTTTTCTAAACCTGCTCCCCGATGTCTTCACTAGCAGCAAACGCTAGACACCAAAAATCTGTAGGACAAAGCACATGGCAGCCCAGGCTGAACCAAAAGACAGCTTGTGGGTTTACGGAGGGCTAAACGCCAGTTGTGATGACGTCTTGGACTCTCCTCTGTCCACCCAACCAATCCAGAGATATTCAGTTTATTATTGTGTATGACAGAAAAATCTGTTCTCTCATTAAAGATGGTGCAACTAGATTTTTGCTTAGAAATAGTTGCTGGTTAATTTTCTATCAGTCAATAGTTGCAGCGCTAGATTACTGAATGGCTTATTGACCATAAAAAGTGTGTTGAACATAACGAGGGAATATGTTTTTGAACAATGATGTTTCTTCCCTCCAACTGAAGAGCACTCTAGTCTGTTGTTCACTTTGTTAGTTATATTCTTTAATTTGTTTCCCATCTGTATATACTTACCTTATGGATTTGAGATTATCAATCTTCTCATCTCACTCTCAGCAAGAAAGCAAATAAGTATTTCCCAGAATGTCAAGCTGTTTCTTTAAATTGAGCACGAATGTTAACGATTCTACAGGAAATAGTCCCGTGAGGACATCATCATCATCATCTCTCTGCTTGTTCTCTCAGGATGAAAACGGAGAGGTTCTGAGCCCGTTCCTTGCAGCCGGGGCTATGTCAATGTCAGCATCTGCCCAAGCAGGGCGGGAACGTTTGGGGGATTTGAGCTTGATGTCTACAACTTCCTCCAACATGTCCCCTCTGACACAGTCACCGGTCCAGGCCATGGCCTACAGGGGCAGGGAGGGTTCCCTTGATTCCCGCTACCAGTCCCCTATAGATGACTTCAGGGTGTCCCAAGAGACACTGTTAGACCACATGGACCCACAGAACAGAAGGTGAGTGTGTGTCATGTTGTTCTGGAGGAGCTTTTCATGGCTGTGCAGGGAATTTTGAAGCTGCAGATAATTCCAGATCTCCTCTTGTTGTCGTCTTTACTTCAGGATGCTGAGGCGGACCAAAGTGGGCGGAGAGAACCATGTTTAAGTCCAAGCCAATCAGGACGTGTTTCTGTTGCACCCCGACCCCCTCCTCACCCAGTGGTCTCTCCCTGTACTGATGATGTCACTGACTGCTGTGAACACTGTTTCCATGGAAACACCCACCACTGCTTTGGCCTACATTTCAGGCAGCTCCCCCACCCTACGCCCCTCTCTCCTCCCGTCCTGCCACCTAGCCTCCTCACCGCTCGCCTGACAAGAAGAAGGGACTCGGACGTAAGAGGAGGGAGGGGGTAGGTACTGACAGGAAGCCAATCGCTGCAGACAGGAAGAAGAAACTGATGCTAGCCCCTGTTGTTCCCTGGGCGGGGCTGTCCTCACTTGTGTTTGACAGTAGGTGGGCTCAACAGCTGCCTAGTTTGGAGGCTAAGAGGAGGGC